GCAGCCCAGCTCCAGGTTGAGCTGTTGTTCAGCATCTTAGCTGTGGAGGGCAGTGTCACTGGCCCTTATATGTGGGATCCAAACCGGGGCCCTCTGGCATCCCAAGCCAGTTCTTAACCATCGCGCCACTCGGCCGGCCCAGTAAATGTGTGTTTAATGATGACTACTGGGCCTTGTTTTGGGCACTGAGGACAAGGAGATGAATTGGACATGGTCCCTGCCCTTGAGGGGCTCCGAGTTCAGGGGAGGCGAGGGAAGACAGACCCAGGAAGAGATTTTTTGCAGTGCCGCACAGTGAAGGCATCACAGACCCCTGAAGGGAGCTGTAAGAACACAGAACAGGAAGCAACTCGCTCCCCCTGGTTAGGGAAGGCCTCACAGAGGAGGTAATATTTGACCTGGGCCACAAAGGTGAGCCTGGCTTCAAAAGGGTGTGGAAGGGCGTTCAAGGCAGACAGAACCATGAGTGAAAAAGCACATGCTTGTATCCAGAGACTGGAGAAGGGTACAACGTGGCAGGGTGACCTGGATAATGGGGTCCAGCTCCCAAGCCCCTTTATCCGCAGGTCTGGCACTGGGCCCAGGCTGATTGATAATGAGCAGGTTGATAATTTTGAGCTCATTCAAATCAATCTTCTTTAAATATTTATCCAATATTTATTTAGTGGAGGGCAAGGAGAAACAGATTTAGATCATTCTCTCCCAATAGCCAGCCTCTCCCAGGTGTTACTTTGAATGTCTGCTGACTGGGATCATTGCTGCTGGCCACACCACCGATGAGTCTACGTCAGCCAGGAGTCTTTTTTATTTTCACATAAGATCACTGTGTACTTCAGTAGATTAAATGTTTACAGTTTATCTGCTTTAGTCGTCCCACCCCCACCCCCCACCCTGCCCACCACCACCACCATGGAGAGTTCTCCCCCACCATAACCTAGCTCTGACCTGGAAGGAGGAGAGTTCTGCCCCATCCTGTCCTGGCCCTCTGCCGCCCCCTTCAGGCTTCCTATGGTTTGAGTGTAAGGAAGTGTGGATCCAGGGCCTGTGCAGTTACTCCCTGGACTGGTGGAACTTCCTGGACGTGGTCATCCTGTCGCTTTATCTGGCGGCCTTTGCACTACGGCTCCCCCTGGCTGGGCTTGCCCACATGCACTGCCGAGATGCCCCCGATGGGGTTGCCTGCCACTATTTCACCACAGCTGGTAAGTGCCCCCCAACTCAGCCACACATCCCCCAAGCCCTTCTCTTCTTCAGCTCTCAGCCCCCATTCCACCCTGCACAGAGAGAAGTGAGTGGCGCACCGAGGACCCCCAGTTCTTGGCTGAGGTGCTCTTTGCTGTCACCAGCATGCTCAGCTTCACCCGCCTGGCCTACATTCTGCCGGCCCATGAGTCGTTGGGCACTCTGCAGATTTCCATTGGCCAGATGATCAATGACATGATCCGGTGCGTACCGTCCGGGCTCAAAGCATCCTCCCCTCTGATGGACTCCACTTGCACTGGGCCTCCTTCTGAAATTCCCCAGCTCTAGTTAGCACAGGGGTT